ATATATTGCTCTCGAAGAGCAATGAGCGGTCTCCATTGGCAAATTATATTCTGACATATGTATCAAGATATAAACTTTATCCTGTGGAGTCGGGCATTGAGCTAGAGAAAAAAGAAAACGTGGACGTGGTGTACCCCTTTCTGCTGAGTTTAATGGTAAACTTGGACAAATTGACAGGGGCGGCGCTATATTAGCTTATATTTGAAAACTATTGAAACGATTTTTAAAATATAGACACAGTTAAAAGGGTAATTGAGTATACATATGTATGTATATAATGCAAACATATTTTGACAAAAAGTAAAAAAAACTAAATTATGGCAATTTTTTTTAAATGTATGTTTGTCGTAAAAAAATACGTAATTAACTATATTAGCAAATATGTTTATCGGAAAGACTATAAAAATACCATTAATTTGGCGTATAATTTTATATAGTTAGGTTTAAGTACAACTGCCAGCAATGCAATAAAACAACTGTATTAATGTTATAATTAATTTAGGTAGTAGTGCACTTTAGTTGAACCAGAGGGACAATTCCCGTTCTGCGTTATCGTAAAATGAAGTGAAAAGTATAAAATTATCACCGAAATAAATGCGGTGTAAAAGTGTTATTTTTATTACTTCGCAATAACGCAGAACGGGAATTTACCCGCAGGTCAAAATGGAGGGACAAATTTCGAGAGTGGTATCAATCGACGCGTCTTAACGCCAGTAGTAACAATCCGAGACCGGAAATTAACTTTTTTTATTCATTAACGAGTTATTTGCAAAAAAGACTTGCACTTTCCGCACTATGTTTTGATGAATTTCACGCATTTGAATGGAATAAATGAACTCAATTTAACACGTATTTATTAGTTTTTATACATTTGTGATGTTTTAAGTGTACACTCGCGAAAATCTGTATTTAATAGTAATATTCCGATGGTGAAAATCCGCACAACAATCTTGTTTAGTTAATATAAATAAGAAGGAGGAAAACTGGTGCTGCCACTCTATTAATACAATTTGTATTTTAACTTNCGCGAAAATCTGTATTTAATAGTAATATTCCGATGGTGAAAATCCGCACAACAATCTTGTTTAGTTAATATAAATAAGAAGGAGGAAAACTGGTGCTGCCACTCTATTAATACAATTTGTATTTTAACTTTAAAAACACCCAAATAATGCACAAAAAATATACTTTTGTGAAAAGGGGATTTTTGTTCCTTTTTTTCGCATGCAGAAAGGGTAATTCTACGTAGTGAGGGTTATAATCTCTAAGCGCGGCGGAAGGCCGCCTACGCAGAAAGGTGTTCTCTGCAAAACGTGTTCAGCCCCTTTTATTTGGCAACACAGAAAGAAAAAGGTGTTCTCTGCAAAAGGTGTTCTGCCCCTTTTCTTTGGCAACACAGAAAGGAGAATTCTACGTTGTGAGGGTTATAATCCCTAAGCGCGGCCGAAGGCCGCTTACGCAGAAAGGTGTTCTCGGCAAAAAGTTTTCAGCCCCTTTTACTTGGCAACACAGAAAGAATTCTACGTAGTGAGGGTTATAATCCCTAAGCGCGGCTGTAGGCCGCCTACGCAGAAAGGAATTCTACGCAAAAATCCTGTGGATAGCGTAGCTTGATTAATTATCCATTTAATTCTACAACTCAATCTTATAACAAATAAGGTGATAAAAAAAATGGTTTGTATATATTTCTTTAGTATTTTTTTAATTTTAATTCAATGTTTGTAAAAACTTGAGAGGAACATTTTCTATCGCGCGATTTTTTATTCCAAATTTTCGCCTGCGGCGCTTTTCCTTTTTCATATAAAACTATATTTTTATATATATTTAGTCAAATATGATGTCCACAAGACTTTTTTCCTACAAGGCATATAGTGGCCTTTCTGATAAAAATATCTGTTAATATAGTCAATTACGTATTTTTTAAAGAAAAACATAAATTTTTATAAAAAAAATTGCCATAATTTCGTTTTTTACCTTTTCTCGCAATGTGTATACATAAATAGATATATATGTCGAATGAAAGGCCCTTCAATCACCTTTCCAACTGTGTCTATATTTAGAAAATCGGTTCAATAGTTTTCGAAATATAAGCTTTTGAAAATGTTGAAAATTCCACGTTTAGCCCTCCTATTGCCGCCCCTGTCAATTTGCACCAAAAAAAAATATGCCGTTAAAATCCGGAAAAGGGGCGGGCCACGCCTTTTTTTCCCCTAGCTCAAAGTTCCGTATTCTTTAGGTGTTCCATAGTTTTTATTAACAGGCCTATTCTGCACGTTACCGATGATTATGTAACCGGAAAATTTTATTACCAAAAAATGTTACCAGTTCTTGTCACCGCGATTCTAGGTACGTTGGTAATGAAGTTAAAATATTCAGCAATTCAGCTATGAAGAATTGTGCAAATCCTGGCATTGCATATTTCACGGGGCAATAATTTGTTACCAGCTTATGAGATGGTAACAAAATTTACCGGTTACAAGAGTACCCTGAATGCGAAAAGGGGTCAAAAATTTAAGGAACTTTATTTACCGGTTACAAACTTTTTATTACCAACGCAGAATAGACCTGTAAGTAAGGCTTCCTGCACATTGGTCGTCCAATCATAGTTGCTTCATCGTCACACTCATGATGCAACGATTACATGACGACTACACTTTCGCATACTCGGTCGTGATATTTAAATTCATTTGACGTGTAAAATTCACTTGGAGCAGGTATTTTTATACCCGAGCGCACTTGTGCACAAGGGTATATTAATTTTGTTCACATAACGGTTGTTTGTAACAGCCAAAACGAATCGAGATAGATATAGACAAATGTATACATAAATGATCAGGATGAAAAAAGAAATCGATTAAGCCATGTCTGTCTGTCCGTCCGTC